GGAGGCCTAGATAAGAGAATTGGCTGAGCTCCCACAGGTCTGAGACCACCCTAGGCAACTTGGCGAGACCTCATCTCTACAATAAATCAGAAAATTAGCCAGGCATGGTAGTGTGTGCTTATAGTTCCAGCTATTTGGAAAGCTGAGGCAGAAGGATTGCCTGAGCCCAGCAGATCAAGGCTGCGGTGGCCGTGAGCAGACCACTGCACTCCAGCCTGGGTGACAGAGTGAGACTCTAACTCAAAAAAAAAAAAATACTAAAAACTATACCAGGGTGACATGCCAAATACAATCATAAATAAGGGCATCAAACATTGCCTTTACCCACCAATATCAGAACTTATTTTTATTTAATTGTAAAATAAACACCAGGATGTGGAGGGTCCTGGGAACTCTGAGTGACTCATTTGCAGTCTGTCCCAGGCACTGGGTTTCAGACAAGGTCAGACAAGTCCCTGCCCTCACGTAGCTCACGTTCTCATGGTGAGGAATACAGACAAGCAAAGAGATCTCGAATGTGACAAGCGCCATGGAGGCAACAAAGCAGGGCAAGGTCAGAAAGGGAAGGCCCAGGGTCTCTAGAGGGGGTGGTCAGGGAAGGGGTTTCCCAAGGATACTCCTGATATGAGCAGGACCTGAGGGCAGTGGGGGGTGAGCCTTGAAGACACTTGGGGAAGTATATTACAAACAGGGGATATAATGAGGGCAGAGGTGCTAAAGGAATGGGAATTATGCTGCTGATCTTGACCCGGTAGGACACACATATGCACACACACAGACCCCCAAGGCTGAGGGGTGAAGGGACCTGCTCAGGTCCCCGGGCCCCATCTTACCATCCCAATACATAGGTGCCCATATTAACTGATTCTCTCTCCTCCCTCCTAGTCTCACTTTTAACCTCCTGGAACCCAGCTGCCACTGCCCAATTCACTGTGGAATCCATGCCATTCAATGTTACAGAGGGGAAGGATGTTCTTCTACTCATCCACAATCTGCCACAGAATCGTCTTGCCTACAACTGGTACAAAGGGCAAATGGTGGACAGGAACCAACTGATTGCAACATATTCAATAGCCAGTCAAACACAAACCCCAGGGCCTGCACACAGCGGTCGAGAGACAATATACCCCAATGCATCCCTGCTATTTCAGAGGGTCACCATGAATGATACAGGATTCTACAGAATACAAATCATTACGGCAGATTTTCAGAATGCAGAGGGAACCGGCCAGTTTCACGTACACCGTGAGTGATTCCTCTATGACCTCTGGGTGTTGGGGGGCTATTCTGCTTCACACACATGGGATTGTCAGGCCTAGACTATGTCTGTGTCCCCCTCTGAACTATGTTCCATGGTAGAGTTTCAGCATTTAGTGCAGGACACACACTGTGGGAAAAACTTCAAAAGATCAAAATGTCTTATTCCAGAATCCAGACCCTGCAGACATTCACAGCAAAGGAAGAAAAGTCAAATGGGGAAACTCAGCAGGGGAAGATCAGTCTCAGCCTAGCCCCACGGAACCCTCCTCCTGAACACGACCCTGAGAAAGACCCTGTAGGACTTGGTTAGGGCCTGACCTGCAGATCCCCCTAGGATCCTCACAAAGAAGCCCCTGCCCAGGTTCCTGTCCCAGGCTCCTGTCTCCATATGGCCCTGGGGAGCCTGTGGCCAAGGCTGGGTTCTGGTCTTCTGGGCAGGGCTGACTGGGAGCAATGAGTTACCAGCTATCTGAGGGCCATGCTCCCAGAGCTGGTCACCATCCGGGGCTCAGCCCCCAGAACCTCATCTGGACAAGGACAGGGCCTTATCCTTCATTTGAGACTCAGTGAGGAGAGGACAGATAGACTAGCTCCCCATTCCATTAACCAACTGGATGGGGAACTTAAGAGATGGCCTAGGGCAGTCAGAGTCCCAAGAGGAAGAACAGAAGAGAGAAGATGATCCTGGCAATTCCTTGTTCACTAGGTATCAGGCTGAGGGGTGCTCTCATGGAATCCAACAATAATAGATGCTGTTTATTTGGACAACTCCTCTATACAAAGCTGTAGGTCAGGTAATTTTGAATATATTAAGGTTAATTTATAGACAAGACAAGCCAGAGACCATTTACCAGTTATTCTATTTTACTGAGGGGAAAACTGAGGCAAATGGAGATACCGTTGTTGAATCAGCATCACACAGCCCATGCATGACTGGCAGGTCAGAGTCACAGGAGGTCTATCTGCAGCCATAGCCTCAACCTCTCCTCAAGACCAGGGGCCTTATCAGGCATCTGTGGACCCTGATAACAGTTGTTAGTTCAGCTCCTTTCTTCTCAGGCATCCACAGCCCAGAGGGGGAGATTCTGGTCTGGGGAGCAAGATCAAATGGAAAATTAATCCGTTTTTACTCTGGAACTTAATCAACTATTAGAATGCCTGGAATATCCAGGCCTTCTCCCTCTGATACACATCCCTTGCTGGACTTGAAAGCATGTGTTTCCTGTTTTGTTGGTGTCATGCCCAAAGAAGGATAAAGGAAAGGACTTTGCTTTCTCTCTCCACTCACACCCCACACCAGCATAGGGCCCAATGTGAGATACACTCTCAGTAGTTCTCTGAAGAACAAAGGAATTAATTAGTAGAAGAATGAATGGGCCAGGTATGGTGGCTAATGCCTGTAATCCCAGCACTTTGGGAGGCTGAGGAATTGCTTGATCCCAGGAGTTCAAGACCAGCCTGGGCAACATAGCAAGACCTTTTCTCTACAAAAATCCAAAAATTAGCCAGACACAGGATCAGTTGAGCCCAAGAAGTCAAAGCTACATTAAGCCATGACTGCCACTGCACTCAAACCTGGGTGACAGAGTGAGACCCTGATTAAAAAAAAAAAAAAAGAATGAATGATCCATAACCTCTTGGGGGACTGGATTCTGGTTGCAGAATCCTAGGAGGTTCTGATCATACCTTTCCCTGTCCCTCCAGATGCTGAGGCCGTGTTCCATTGCTCTACCCTTGCCCCTAAAGCCACCCTGAGAGCCAAGTTTCATGTGACTCTGACTCCTCAGTCATAAGAGGAGGACAGGTATCAGGGCTCCCTGGTTCTGGGGAAGCCAGGGGGTTCCTGGGTTCTGGAGTCTCTGCAGTCACTGTCACTGTCACTGCTCACTGCCATGGGTGTTTCTGGCTCTCTACTCTCTTTCTTAAGCCTTCCCCAGACACACCCACTACCAAAGACTGACTGCCCTCTGCCCTTCCTGCTAACACTATGGCCAACCCACCTCCTGGGCAAGAATAAAGGACAGAAATCATCAGAGTAGCCACCCCTGCCAAGCTCCATAAAGAGCCAATGTCCCCAGGAGAATAAGCTTCCACTGTGTCCACATCCAGGGCTCTTTCCCTTGGTGAGGCTGACACATGGAATAGCCCCCAAAATCACAGGCTCATTTCATACATTTTACTTATGATTCAGTTCTCATCCTGGAATGGGGCTCGTGTCCTGCAGTGGATCCCAGGACCTTTCCCAGATGGAGCTGGCCAGGCTGGTGCTGCCTGATGGATTTACTGCCTGTTCCAAGCACATCTGTGTCCCTCATGATGATGCCTTTTCCCTAAACTGGGGTCCCTTGAATGGGAAGATGCACCAGCCATGGGTGTCTCACTTAGACTCTGCCCAATTTAGACAAATTTAACAAACTCCACATGTGTTTTCTGAATTTGAAAGAAAAGGAAAAAAGTATTTCACATATCTTGTGGGGTCCTCCCCTTTTTGCCTGACTATCCATAGGAATTAGGGAGAGGGTACTCTTTTTCCAAATGTATTAGTGTAACATACATCACTTCTCCTAATTTGGTATTATTTTTCTCTTTTTTATATTGAGAAATCTCAGAGTTCCCCTCAGACCAGTTCTGTCCTCCTAATAAGACGCATGCTTCTCTATCAAGAGAGTCACTGATTTCAACCTGACTTCAGCCTTTTCCTTTGAGCATAATGTGACCCTGCTTAGCTTCAGAGCTTGGTCTAAGACCTTTCCATGCTCTCTGGAGAAATATTCCTCCCAGGAATTGGTCTTACCTCTGTTCTTAATAACAATTTTCACTTGTGAAAGAAATTTAACTTCTCAAATTTCTATCACAGATCCATCAAGCATCCGATACATGAGGGTCAGATTTCCAGCACGTTCATGCTCCCCACTTTCCACCAGTCTCTTCTGCATTTTCAAACATCCACATGTAATTCTGGAAAGGTCCACATGATCCTCACCTGCCCTCTGCAGAGGGAGAAAGAACATTAAGGATCACAGGCAGAAATCATGGTTCTACTCCAAAGCCAAGGATTCCTGCCTGTTCACCTTACTCTTTCTAGATCAGTCCTTATACCCTGCTCTACTCTTTTGGAGGTCACTGTTCATGTAAGTCATCATTAAACACCTGGGAAAAACCACCCCACCTTGTGGTCATGCAGCCCAACTACTCAACTGACATCCAGACTCGCTTCTCCCATGTGTTATTTGTGCTCAAACACCTTCTCCCAAGTCAGGCTGCCCAGTATCCTCAGGATTTAAGGACAATAGGAAGTCCCACTATCGCCCATCTCTAGGATATCCTTGGAGAGGGGAGCCCCAGAGAAACACACCTACCGGGGTAAAGTAGGACTGTGAAGCTAGAATGGTCCAAGCACCTGTGTATTCCAGGTGAGGAGCCCAAGGTAGATCAGGCAGTCGGCTGCTCAGGAAAGGACCAGAGGGGTGCCAGGGAGCTCTGACTCTGTCCATGACCCAATGCTGCTATTCAATTCACACTTGAGAAAGTCTGTGCTTCTCCCAGACACACCAGGTGGACCTCATGTTCTCTGAGTCCTAAGATTGTCATGCATCTGTCTTGTGACACACACACATCTGCCGTGGTCTTTTAAGGATTTGGGTTGGCTCAGAGGTGACAGATTCCAACCCTGGTTAAAGATGGCTTTGGAGAAATCAAAGGTACCACCCAGGACAATCTTTTCTCTGTTATCTGCACAGCGGAGTTACCTAAACCCTCCATCACAAGCAACAACTCCAGCCCCGTGGAGAACAAGAACTCTGTAGCCTTAACCTGTGAACCTGAGACTCAGGACACAGTCTACCTGTGGTGGATAAATGGTCAGAGTTTCCCGGTCAGTCCCAGGTTGGAGCTATCCAAGAACAACAGGACCCTCACTTTACTCAATGTCACAAGAAATGACGCAGGACCCTATGAGTGTGGAAACCAGAACCCAGTGAGTCGCAACCGCAGTGACCCAGTCACCCTGAATGTCCTCTGTGAGTATCTCCTGTTCCTCCATGGTTCCAGCTGCCAGCCCAAATCCACATGGCAGAGGCCATAACACTCAGGTCCCAAGACACAGATCCTCACCCCTGGAAACCCAGGCTGGCCATGACTTCCTGTCCCAGGTACACACAACCTTGACCAAGAATAGGAGGTGGGGGGCTGCTCCTGTCCTGGGAGGCTCAGGGGCCTGTGAAGGAAGAAACAACATAATGTCTCAGACTCAGGCTCAGTGGACATGGGGGTTATGGTTTGGACTTTTTAAAACAAGTTTGGGACTCAGTTCAGAGGGATACTCTGGCCCTTATACACACCAGAAGCTTCCCCTTCCCTCTGATGACATCACATGTGGCTTTATTTCCATTACTCCAGATGGCCCGGATGCCCCCACCATTTCCCCCCCAGACTCAACTTACCGTCCAGGGGCAAACCTCAATCTCTCCTGCCACGCAGACTCTAACCCACCCGCACAGTATTCTTGGTTTATCAATGGGAGTTTCCTGCAATCCACACAAGTGCTCTTTATCCCCAACATCAATGTGAATAATGGTGGATCCTATACCTGCCTCGCCAATAATTCGGCCACTGGCAACAATAGGACCACAGTCAAGATTATTGCAGTCTCTGGTAAGTGGATCCCTGGAAGACAGGCATCAAGTCTTGGGATAAAGTCTGTATAGTTTTCAGAGAAGATCCGAAAAGAAATGTTCTTTCCCAGACTGTGTCCCATGACCATCAGCAAATCCCAAATTCTCCCCGAGCCCTCCCACTCCATCTTTGCAGACTCTCTCCTCCCCTTGCTTCTCTGATGTCTCACAGCTGACCTTGGGTCCACCCTGGAGTGTAACGAGCTCCATATAATAGGAGGAGATTCACAGAGGGAGAAGGAAGAAGGGTCTTCAAGGTCAAGTAGTTTCTTTCTGTCACGGTCTTCTTTCTGTCACAGTCTTCTTTCTGTTTTTTCCTGAGTCTGTTTTCATAACTTCTTAGCTTTCTCTTATATGCTCCATGAGTTACAGGAAACATGTGAGGCTTTGAAATAGACTCACATTATTTTTCCCTAAATGAGAGCAGGAAACCCTCTCCATTAGGGATGAGCAGCTCAGACTCGCTCCCTGCTCTGCTCCTGGGTCACCCAGTAATTGACTCTGCTTTGACTCCATCTGGGGTGGAACTAATGCATATGGAGAAGGCAGAAGGAGAATTTGGCTAAATCATGACACCAATTGATGCCAGAACCTCCCCTGGGTCAGGCTGCAGGGAAGTGGGAAGAGAGTGAACCTCAGGGCAGATTCCTGAGCTGTGTCCTGGCTCTGAAGTCACCCCCTGTACAAGGCTGTGGACACAGTACATAGGACCCAGCACAGACGACAACAAGTGATGCAGAGTTGGAGAGATAGGGAGATTCACCCAGAGTCTCTGCATGGGAGGGAAGGAACAGTGCCAAAAAGTATACATTTGTAGAGAAGGTAAGAGTATCAGCCTTTGGTTAATACAATGGACATTTCTCTCTAGAGATTTCCTGCACCGTCATAATCAATCCACAGACCAGAAAGCAAAAGTCCTCTTCAAATTGAGAAATCCTTTAGATTGAAACTTCTATAGGCACTAAGGTCATGAAGACTGGCAAGCCGTCTTCACTCCCTAATAAATTATTTAATGAAAAAAAGTACCTTCCCTTTTGTATGTAAAAGGCAGTACTAGAAGGGGGTCTGACACAGAAAACTCTAAGAAAAGATCACACAAAAAAAAAACATTCCACCTGATAATGAGGTTGATGAGCATGTGGACTGAGAAAAGGTGCCCAGTCTACACTAGAGATACTGGAGATGCCCAGGGGGACCAGTCAGAGGTCAACCTGGGGTGACCTGAGTCAGAGGGGAGGTGCCCCCCTCACCTTACAGATTGTCACCTGAACAAGGATGCTTGTCCTTCTACTGGAGGTCAGGGCCATCCCCCAGCTGTTCACCTTTGCACAGTTTATCGATACACCTGAAAGCTGGCTGAGATCTCTGAGGATGGACCATGGCCCCAGATCCCAGGCCACTCTCAGTCCTCCTATCTGTCCACAGAACCAGAGCCAATGGCTCAGTCCTATATCCAAGCCACCAGCACCATAGTCACGGAAGATAAGGTCCCCGTGATCGTGACCTGCCTCACAAATGACACTGGAATCTCCATCCAGTGGGTCTTCAAAAACCAGACTCTGCTACTCTCAGAGAGGATGAAGTTGTCCCTGGACAACAGCACCCTCAGCACAGATGCTGTCAAGAGGGAGGATGCTGGGGAGTATCAGTGTGAGGTCTCCAATGCAGTTAGTTACAACCAAAGTGTTCCCCTCAGGCTGACTGTGAAATGTAAGCGGGCCCTTGCCCCTGCCTATATCTTTCTGGGAGGATTATTCTTCCAACGGTGTGCAAAAGGGATAGAAATCACAGGGGGAAGATTAGTAGAACTACAGGCCATTATAGGAAACAGAATCGCAAAGTGGTTAATAACTCAGGCTCTGAATCAAATAGACAGTTTTTTATCTTGGGTCTGGCATTTACTGTGTGTACCCTGCACGATATTCTATTTTTTTGTTTTCCGTTAACAGTGGGGAGGGGGTAGCAAAATATACATAAGACCATTTTAGCCACTTATAAGTTTACAATTCAATAGCATTAAGTACATTCGTATTGTACAGCCATCACCACTCTCCATTTCCAGAACTTCCTCATCTTACCACACTAAGCCTCTATACCCATTAAACAATAACTTTCCACTACCCCTCCCTATAGCTCCTGGTAACCACCACTCTACTTCCTGTCTCTGTGTATTTGACTATTCTAATTACCTCTAATGTAGATAGAAACATACAATATTTATCCCTTTGTGCCTGGCTTATTTCACTTATGCTATATCTGGGTTTAGTTTATTCTTTTTCTATATCCTTAAGTTGTAAAGTTAGGTTAATTTGAGATTTTTCTTTTTTGTTGTGTTTAGAGTTATACATTTCTTTTCTTTTTTTTTTCTTTTTTTTTTTCTTTTTCTTTTTGAGTCAGAGTCTCACGCTGTCACCCAGGCTGGAGTGCAGTCGCATGATCACAGCCACTGCAACCACAATTGGCTGGGCTTAGGCAATCCATCTGCTTAAGCCTTCCAAGTAGCTGGAACTACAGGCATACACCACCATACCCAGCAACTTTTTTGATTTATTGTAGAGATGAGGTCTTGCCATGTTGCCCAGGCTGGTCTCGAACCCGTGGGCTCAGGCAATCCTCTCACCTCAGCCTTCCAAAGTTCTGGGATTATAGGCATGAACTTGAGAAATCTGAGACTCAGAGAAGTTAAGAATCTTGCGTAAGAAATTTATAACTCTAGGCTGGGTGTGGTGGCTCATGCTTGTAATCCTAGCACGTGCCTGTAGTTCCAGCTACTTGGACAGCTGAGGTGGAAGGATCACCTGAGCCCAGCAGGTCGAGGCTATGGGGGCCATGAGTGTGCCACTGAACTCCAGCCTGGGTGAGAAAGTGAGATTCTGACTCAAAAAAAAGAAAAGAAAAGAAATTGCAATGAGAGTGCCTGCTTCATAGTATTGATTGTTTGTTTGTTTTGGAAGTGGGGTCTCACTATGTTGCCCAAGTTGGTCTAAAACTCCTGACCTCAAGCGGTCCTCCCACCTCAACCTCCCAAAGTGCTGGGATTACAGGTGTCCGAGCCCCATAGTATTTTTTTTTGAGTTGGCATCTTACTCTGCTGCCCAGGCTGGAGTGCAGTGGCACGCTCATGGCCACTGCAGCCTCGACCTGCTGGGCTCAGACGACCCTTCCACCTCAGTCTTCCAAGTAGGGAACAAGATGAGGTCTTGCCATGTTTCCCAGGCTGGTCTCGAACCTGTGGGCTCAGGCAATCATCTCCCCTCTGTCTCCCAAAGTGCTGGGATTACAGGCGTGAGCCACCATGCCCAACCAGTATTGTTTTAAAGATGGAATGTACTAATCAACTAAACCTTCAGCAAAATGTCACACACAGAGGTAATGCTTTATGTTAGCTTCTATTAATGATTACTATTATCATAAGCCTTGAAGTCAAGTAGTCCTACAGTCAAATCCCAGATCCACTTCTTACTAGTCATATGACTTTGATAAGTTTTTTCACATTATAAGCTTCCATTTTTTTCATGTTTAGAATGGAAATAATGGGCCAGGCACAGTGATTCACACCTGTAATCCCAGCACTTAGGAAGGCCAAGGTGAAAGGATTACTTGAACCTAGGAATTCGAGACAAGCCTAGGCAATATAGTAAGACCTCCTCTCTACAAAACGTCAAAAAGTTAGTCGGGCATGGTAGTGCGTGTCTGTAGTCCCAGCTACCTGGGAGGCTAAGGCAGGAGGATCACCTGAGCCCAGGAGTTTGAGGCTGCAGTAAACCATGATCCTGCCACTGCACTCCAGCTTGGGCAACAGAGTGAGACCCCAACTCAAACAATTAATTAATTAATTAAAATGGGAATAATGTATACCTGACAGGGTTATTGTATGGATCAAATGAGATTCATGTAAAGTACTTAGCACAGGATCTGGCACATAGTATGCACCTCACAAATGTAGCTAACATCAGCATTAATAATCAGCCTGAGTTGACTGGTGAAGACTAAGCCCAAATGGTTGCAACAGAGAAAAAGAAAGCACAGATGCAAAAGATACATATATCTTTGGGGGGGGGAACCCATAAAGAGATAATTTATTTATTAAAAATTTGTAGTTATTCTCACATGTTTAAACTTCTGTCACCTTCAAACTACTCTCTGATGTAATATATCTATCGACATGCTTTTTCCACTGCTCAAAACAGTTTTTAAACTTGTCAATTTTGATGCCTTTTAGTGTTTCTGCTGGGGGGGGGGTTTTGTTGTTGTTGTTGTTTTACCTCTTCCACATCAGCAAAACTCTTCCTTTTGAGGCCTTTTTTTTTACCTAGAGAAACAAAAAAAGTTGTTCCAGGCAAGACTGGGTGAATAGGGAGGGTGGGGTACAGAGATCATGTCATTTTTGGTCAAAAACTACTGAACACTCAGCATGATGTGGGCAGGTCTCTCATAAATCACCCATCATGAAATGGGCAAATACATTGAAAGAATCTCCAAACCAAAATGCACTAAAACCTAATACAACCTCTCATAACAACATTAGGTGGTACACTGATGTCAGTGGGTTACTAGAACACTTACTAGCAGGGGAAGCCTATACTACAAGGGCCCTACCCTCCAAAAAATCATTCCAGAAGAGGCATTACACAAAAAACTCACTGGGACATGGCTACTGACTAAATATGGGAAAGGGGGCAAAAGGAGTTAACTGCAACATCTCAAGCTTGGTATATTAGTTTTCATTCACTGAGATGCAGCCAAGATGGGACTAGACATGCAAGATATTTATTGTGGAAAAGCCCTGTGAGGGAAAGGGCAAGGAGCCTTGTAGAGACTACTTCACGCTGAGAGTTGTTTCCCAGGACACCCCACTGTAAAATAATTTCATATTCATTCCTTCTCTTCTTTCCATGACAGAAGATTTATCACAAGGAAGTTCTCCTGGCCTCTCAGCTGGGGCCATTGTTGGCATCGTGATTGGAGTACTGGGTGGTGTGGCTCTGATAGCAGCCCTGGTATATTTTCTGCATTTCAGGAAGACTGGCAGGTATGATGGCTTTTCATCTTGTTCTGTACCTCCAAGGCTTACTGCCACGCTTGGGAGAGGGAGAGAACTTCTTCACCGTCTCTGGGCCTGGGTCTACTCCCCTAAACTGCTTCTCGGCACTAATTCCTGCAGGTCTTTTCTTCCCTGGTCTTCAGGTTCCCTATACGCCTCTGTCTCTTGGACTTGGTTGTTCCAATCCCCATCTAGTCTAAGGCAACAGATCCAATTATGTTCCTCTGGACTCCAGTCAGGGAAGCCAAGACCCAATTATGTTCCTCTGGAATCCAGTCAGGGAAGCCAAGTTCAACAAGGAAAACAAATGAGGAAATAAAAGAAGCAGCAGAAGAAGCTCTATTGACCCACAGTAGCAGGAGGAGGGAGGGATACACAGGATGAGAACATAAGAGAAAGCAGAAAGAACCAAAGTCCTCTTGGACAACAAATAAAGTAAGGGGAAAAAAAGGAGAAAAAAAAAATAGAATCCTACCCCTGGAGGACAAAAATGGGAAAGGTCTGCTAGAAGTCGGCACAGAAGCAGTGCATAAAGAATGGACCTAAACCAGGCTTGGTGGCTCAGCCTGTAATCCCGCGCTTTGGGAGGCTGAGGTGAGTGGATTGCCTGAGCCCACGGGTTCGAGACCCACCTGGGCAACTTGGCGAGACCTCATCTCTACCATAAATAAAAAAATTAGCCGGGCTTGGTAGCGCGTGCCTGTAATTCCAGCTACTTGGAAGGCTGAGGCGGAAGGATCGCTGGAGCCCAGCAGGTCGAGGCTGCGGTAGGCGGGAGCAGCCACTGCACTCCAGTTTGGGTGACAGAGTGAGACTCCAACTCAAAAAAAAAAATAGACCTAAATAGGTACAAGTAACAAACAGGAAAAGAATAAACATTAGAGGGGATCATAGTTAGATTGAAGAATGAGGCCCTAAGAGGAAAGGCAGTATAAAGTGTCAAGGAGCCCTAAGGAATTATCTGCTGACAGTGTCCTCCCTAACTCAGGGAGCAAAGATCCTGTGCTTGGGAATAGCAGTCACAGTGTCTGATGTTTATTTAGGGCAAGCGACCAACGTGATCTCACAGAACACAAACCCTCAGCCTCCAACCACAGTAAGTAAAGCCACTCACCCAGTAAGAACTGGTATGCTCCACCATGTTCCCTGCCCTGGTTTCTCAAACCACTCCCTCCCTCTAAATTTTTACAGAGGAGATCTCCATTTCCCAACCCTAAGTTGGCATTGGTCCTCAGACCCTTCCTAGCCACAAGAGTCCCCTGAGACATAGCCCTAGGAGAGGAGCTCACTTCACCCAGGCCAGGCAGGCCTGAGGAATATCCAGGAGCCATTTCTTCATCCTTACTCCTTCCACCTCCTGCCTCTATTACAGATGTGGGCATTCTCCCTTGGTGAGACTTTCCTTGTCTTGTGGATACTGTGGGTGCTGTGAGCCTCAATGCCCCTCCTTACCACTGAAGCATGTTGCTGGGAAACATATCTAGGCAAAAATCTTCAGAAGTGGACTGTGGCCTCCTGTGGCTCTCTCCCTGCCCCACCTCTGGTACTAATGTGCTGGGTCTGGACTCTGAGGGCAGCAAACTCCCTAACTGATCATGGCTTCCTCCCCACCCCCAACCACCACCACTGCTACCACCTGCTACCTCCTTCAGCAAGAAATCACCAGACCTTAAGTCAGCTTTGCATTTCCATGAATTGGTAACTCTTCTTTTGCATCCCCAGTTCAGGGCCATTCTGACAACTCACCTAACAAGGTAAGCACAGCCAGTTTCACTGGCTCATTTTCTCATGGAAATGACACTATATAGATGGGTTTTTCTTGAAGACACAAATGTGAAATCAAGCTTGGGTTTTAAAGTTCCTCAGTGCAGCAACAAACAAAGAAGTATTGGAAATCAGTCCCATGAGTCTACCTTACAGCAAGAATGTGCACTTTGGGGGCCGAGTACGATGGCTTACATCTGTAATCCTAGCACTTTGGGAGGCAGAGGCAAGAAGATTGCCTGAACCCAGGGGTTTGAGACCAGCCTGGGCAACTTGACGAGACCTTGTCTCTTCAATAAATCTAAAAATTAGCCACGTGTGGTGGTGCATGCCTGTAGTCCCAGCGACTTGGAAGGCTAAGGCAAAAGGATCACCTGATCCCAGCAGGTCGAGGTTGCTGTGGCTATGAGTGTGCCACTGCACTCCAGCCTGGGCAACAGAGTGAGACTCTGACTAAAAAAAAAAAAGAATGTGCACTTTGGAATTGCCCCTATCTTATGTTTGAAAACTGACTGTGACTCTTAGTTGCTCTATGACCCTTGGATGAGTTACTTAACCTCTTTGATCCTCAACTTTTTCATCTGTAAAATGACAATTCTGCCTACTTCAAAGAGAAATTGAAGGGATTGAACAAGAAAGATAACATGCCCAGCACCCAGAACAATGGCCAGAATAAGGAAGGCACTTAATCATTCTCCCTCCTCTACCTTCAATCTGACCCTGCTCTTACGGTCAAAAGGATAATTTCCATTCTAATGGATCTGATATCCTACTTCCTTGATAATAATTTTATAGAATTTGTATCATTTTAACCTTTAATAGAATACACATACCAGGATGCCAAAATATGTATACACATTTTTTTTTTTTGAGTTGGAGTCTCACTCTGTCGCCCAGACTGGAGTGCAGTGGCCACTTCTAGCCACCGCAGCCTCGACTTGCTGGGCTCCGGCGATCCTTCCGCCTCAGCCTTCCAAGTAGCTGGAACTACAGACATGTGCTACCACACCCGGCTAATTTTTTTTTAATTTATTGTAGAGATGAGGTCTCACCAAGTTGCCCAGGTGGGTCTCGAACCCACAGGCTCAGGCAATTCACTCACCCCAGCCTCCCAAGGAGTGGGATTACAGGCTGAGCCACCAAGCCCAGCTTGTATACACTTTTTTTTTTTTTTTTTTTTGGAGTTGGAGTCTCACTCTGTCGCCCAGACTGGAGTGCAGTGGCCGCTCCCGGCCACCGTAACCTCGACCTGCTGGGCTCCGGCAATCCTTCCACCTCAGCCTTCCGAGTAGCCGGAATTACAGGCATGCGCTACCACACCCGGCTGATTTTTTGATTTATTGTAGAGATGAGATCTCGCTGCCCAGGCAGGTC